ATACCAATGCACCCAAATATCAATCATACTTATTAATAAACAAACAACAAAATCACCAAACCCTTTGTAAGATTTCCTGATAAAAACAATCCCACAAAGCAAGCACCTATCTAGTTAGCATAAACATTTTTAAACATGTATTTAATGCCTCATCAGAATACAAGAACAAAGCCATCTCATGCAGAAACCTGGTGAGATGCATCCCCTAACAGCACGCCTGCAGCCTTGGAGGGAGTGTAAACAGCCTCATACCTCCTGGGCTCCTGCTGCTCTCTTACGAGAGCACAGAGGAACACAACATCTCACTGCTGGCTTCCACACATTTGTTTGACCCAGAGAACAGATTTTAGCTTGCTTCTGGAGAATACTGAAAAAAACCAACAAAAATAAATAGCCAACCTGTGCTATTATTTAAATCTTTAAAAAAAGACTATAATCTTTTTAATGGTGACCTCATTTATGTAATTGCTGCCATGATCCATTTAATTAAATATTCCATCCTGAAAGAAACTGAGCCTTTTGTCTCCAATCAGATGCTCTCTTAAGCCAGGCTTAACTTTCAGTAGTTAAAACATACATTGAAAGTCAAGTGTGTGATTGGTGCTATGCTGTGGGAAGACCCACACACTGGTACTTCTGAGGATTTATCCTTTAAACAACTGCATAGGCACCTGTACATCTTTATGTAGACAAATATTTTCACACAAACTGGGTAGATTTACATGTATAGTATCAGACTTAAGTTTGGGTCACTGCAGGATACAAAGCTCACAATTCAGTGATGACATCTGCATAATGTGATACAGTAAAACTAAAACCCAGATGTTAAATATGAGATAGTAACATAAAGAGCATTACCCTAACTTCAGAGAAAACAGCAGAAATTCCTCATGTGGGATGCCATATCCCTTACCCATTACTCATCTGCAGGGTTTGGGTGACATGGGAAAGCAGATTTAGACTGCTTGTCTTAGAAAGCAAGAGAAGATAGAATGAAATCTGCAACACAACCAACAGTTTAATGCAGAGTCTGAATTCCTTCTTAACCCACACCTTCAGTTAATAACCCCTTGACATATTTAGTACTAAAGTGGCTTCTGGTAAGACCATCTCCTGATTTTGGCTATTTGTGTCATCTTCCTGGTGAGATGTTTTTCACCAGCAGAGAAGTTGCAGACTGAAATTAGAAAATACTGTGTGATTAAAGGGCAAAGAATGAGAACTATTCAATGGACACCACATACTACAGGTAGAAATCACTTCAGATCAATAGGTGGTCAGATTAAAAAGCTACTGAATTCTTACACAGCTAAAAATAATGCCCCACATACCTGTAATTACTAAATTAATAAGAAATGTTTGACCTCACATGCCCCAAAGGTTAAGCCAACACAGGAGGCAGTGCCACCTCTTGCCCAGGCACTACCTGCTGCTGCTGCTGTTGGCACTGTGCTCTCCTCCTTCCTTATGCTAACACCACTCTTTTCCCAGGAATGTTTCAACTCGGAGAAGCTGGTGGGAGTGTCAGTGTTTTTATTTGCTGAACAGACACGAACAGAGCCATAGTGGAGACATCTGGACATGTGTGACATCAGTAGGGCTTTGCTGCTGACTGCACTGCCACGAGCAGACAAGCCAGTGCCAGGAGAACACAGCTCTGCAGGACAACATCAACTTCTGCAGAAATGTGTTTTCTTCTTCAACAGCCAGCAAGTATTCTGTTTGGAAGCCAAGGTGTTGTTTTCATTTGGGCTGCTTTTCTAAAGCCCTTAAAATACTTTCTCCTTAAAAACAAGTGGACTTTTTTTTCCAGATATCATAGCATTAATATTTTTTCTACAGCCTTCCATTTAAAAATGGGCTTGTAAGGCTGAAATGAAACTCTAGTTTCACCAGTCCGAATAAACAAACTAGAAATGTCAAGATTTAAAATATACTGATCTTTTATAATGGGAAATTTTGCATGAAGGGGATATTTGAACATACGACAAGATAGTGCTTCTAGGAATATACATTCAAAATACATTTTAAAGAAAAAAAAATCCTATTAAATGGCTACAGCTCATTCTTTGTCCAAGTTTGAGCATTGGAGGATAACCACAGAAGACCTATATATGCTCAAATCAGAAATCTTCACATTTTTCCTATGGTGCTGAGATGATTCACAACTTTTTCCACATGGTCAAACTCATTTTTATAGCACTAATGCCAGTACAACAGTAACTTCTAATTCTAAGATGTCTCAAACAGATTAGTTCTTCTGGCTCTTGAGGCACTTTTTAATAAATACTTCCTTTGAAATGGTAGTGTGGTTCTTTGTACTTTGAATTCTAACCGGCATGAATTCATTTTTTCATTGACAGTTTTGAGAGTTACTAAAAATGGAACTACACCCACCTCAGAAAAGAAAATAAAATTCAATGAAAAAAAAAAAGGCAAAAACACTTTCTGAAACACTCCTGGCAAAGAGAAGTGTTTTCATTTCCTGCCTTGAAGCATTACTTTTTTTCCTCCTCCACTCCATGTTTTTCTCTTTTCCTTCTTATTCTGGCATCTGAGGAATTACCAGAGAGAAAATAAGTGGTTTCCCTGCAGTCAGGGCAGATAAGGAAATCAACAATGAATCTTGCAAATTCTTTTGTGGTACCAAAACCATGCCTTAATATTTCCTTTACTTGACAGACTGTAAGTAATTATGACAAATCCCTGGTCTTGTCTTCCTCCTGATCAACTCTAGTTTCTACATCTTATCCACAACAGATCAGATGTTTAACAAAACAGGAGTTTGGAAAGACAATATTTAAGAAAAAATTGCACCAAAAGAATATTGACCAGCATCAAAGAAAATGGTAGGGCAGAAGAAAAACAGAAGATTAGAGAAGAGCAAGCACTGTGAAGTTCAGACATACTTAGAGGAGAAATGTGAGAAAGAGGAAGAAAATGTCAAAATGGCTTAGACAAGTTTTCTTTGGATTATGAAAGCAACAAAAAGGTGACATGATAAACTGTAGAAAAATTCAGGAAGAGAGGAAAATATTTTGCCCACTGTTATCACATCACTGTGCAAACAGACAGCCCTTCAATTTTAGGAAAGATGATTCTTTGGGATACATCCAAAAACTAACTCACACATTTTACATTTAAAATAGAAATGACTGAAAAACAGAACAGAGAATATTCTTCTTTTCTTTTCTTTCTTTTTTTTTTCCTTTAACATTCTCCCCACAAACTTTCATGGAAATTAGACCTGATAGTTTTAGTGGGGTTTTGATTTTTAAAGAAATTAAATCTGGTGGATACTCAGGTCTCCAATCCTAACCTACCCAGTTCAACATGCACACACACACACAGAGAAGGCTTCTGCTGATTTCACTTCATGACTTGGCTCAGAAGGGGTTTGCTTCAGAAGCTGCTATATATTCTGTTTAAATCCAGCGGTTTTAATAGGAAAATTTCCCTTGCAAGGAGGATTAAAATACCCTTTTTTCCAGGAACACAAGCAATTTACTTGAAATGCCAGAGACCCTACACAACTGAGACACTGTGTGCAGGCACAGGTTTTTCAGAGCCCAAAGGCAGAGTGCTGCCTGAGGCCTCTGGTGTTTATAGATTAGGTATGTCTACTGCATCTTTGTAGGATTCCCCTCCAGTCTTTAGTGGGCTTCATCTTCTAATCATTTTTCTACACCAGCTGTTCTTTGAATAACCTTCGACTTCCTCAATAAGCTCCCATTTTTCTTCATACATAATTTCTCTTTTCATTTTTTTTAAGATCAAGTCTTTCTTAGGGAAAAAGAACAAAACGAACTAGAAAAAAAGAATTTAAATGACAATGAAGATGATCATCCTGCAGCCAGGATAATTATCAAAACTTGCTGAATGCCTAGCTGAGAACATATAACAACACACTTTGCTCATTTGTCACTGTTTTACAGGCTGCACATTTCTGACTGATGCTATTCCTGAACCACACACTCTACTTTCTATGTTTGTATATTTATTCCTTTCATCATGAATCACCTTATAGCTGTCTTTATAGAATCTTGTACTATTGATTAAAAAAAAAAAATCAACAATTTATCAACACCTGCTGTACAACAAGACTTTCAGATCATCCGCTGTGGTGATATTACCAATGAAGAATATGTTTGCCTCAATATTAGTATAAAAACAAGATGCAAAGAAGCCATTGGGACAGAGATATTTATTATCTTTTGTTGCTTTATATATTTTCTTTTATGAAAATAAAAATATTCCCATGCAAGAAACTCTTGTAGAAGTTGCTGAAATAATAAAATCTAGTAATTTCATTAGATTTTAATATTAATAACTTTCATAACATAGTCATGGAGCAAAAAACCCAACACACTAATTAATAGCTTGCTGTCACTACAAACAGTGAAATAATCCATCAGTCCTGTATGTATAAACTTTCCTTTGAGGATTAATTATAGATGGAACATAGGATTTTCACACTTTCAGAATCAGTAACTTTAGATCAGTCTCTTATAAGGGCCTGAGGATTTTTTTTTTCCCCAAGCAAATAACTAGGGTATCTCCAAAATATTATTAAATAACTACCTAAAATCTTATATTGAAAAGGATTAAAGGAATTGACACGTTAAGAGGACATACATGGGTAGCTCTTCAACTTTTTTGATTGGGTGGTTTTTTATAACATCAATGTTCAGCGAAGTTCTATTGATAATTTTTCCCACATTTTAAATCCCAAAACAGTTAAAAAAACAACATGTCCAACAGGACCAGCTGATAAAATACTCTATATCAAAAAAAAAGTGATACAGAGAATTAGCACGAGATTCCATGCTCTACAACTGCTATTGAGTATTCCTGTCACAGAGGCAATCTAATCACCAAGCCACCAGTTGGGTGAAGGCTTCCACCCTGCTATCATTAGCATCTGCCTCCATGCAGCTGAATAGAAGAGCTTTTTTATTATTATTCTAACATAAAAAAAAGTTGAATCTCATGTTTCCAACCTGGTCTCCAAAGTCCTCCGGGAACTTCCACAGTACCACTGGATCTGTAAATAATTGACAGACAGCATTAATCAGAGGCAAAGGAACAGAGTACTACAGTCAGAGTATATTAATATTAAAGAGAGGGTCAGCTTAGCATCAAGCTTTGAGGCAAGTGCAAAAATATATCTAAAAACTAAGGAAGATACTGGATTATTAAAAAGACTTATTTCATATTTATGAAAGTGCATGTTTATTGTTTTACATATGGCAGCAGGTTATAGGGTAAAGAACTCTTTTCATATTCAATTCTTTATTCCTGAAATACCTCATTCTTTAAGCACATTTAATTTTTACTTTTTAATTCAATTAAGAAATAAAGAGATAGAAAACCTCTTTTCATCCCAGGAAAAAAGAACAAAAAATTATAACAGGGGAAAAAAGGCCTTTATGAAAGTACAGAAAAACATCCTTTGTGGTTTTAAAGATAGTACCAATGTAACCAGCACACTCAAGGAAGAGTTTAGACAAGCTATCATGGTTCAGTATTTTCTCCTCAGACCCATTTAAAACCAGCATTTCAATACCTCGAAGTTTTCATTAACCACTTGCAAACTGCTAATTATAAAAATAATCAGTTATCTAGGCTACATATTAGTCTTCACTTAATATTGTTTTGAAAGCCTTGTCACAAGGATTGGAACCATAACCTTTCAACAAAAACACAAACTATGAGCTTCACCCTGCCTCCCCCCAAAGCTGTTAATCTCCTTTGACACAAACCCTTCCTGAGGTGCTACTGTTTACACAGCCACAAACACCCACGAAGCCTCACAGGCTTCTAAACAACAGGTTAGCAGCAATGTTTGTCCACCTGCTTCAAGTGAAATTATCCACCTTCCTGCCAGGGAGACCCAGGGCAGTGCCAGAGCTGGACCAGAGGCAGAGCTCTCCAATTCCTCCTGCTCGTGTCCCAGCTGCGCCACTGACCACGCAGCCAGCAGCAGCTCGGGGTGCCCGAGGGCAGGAAAATGAAGGAGAAACAAAACACTAAGTGCCAGGACACTGCCTGATGGGAACTGCCACCTCTTGTCTGCCTCAGGAGCTGCTGGATCCCTGTCCTCCAAGGAGCCAATGTCTGGGAAACTTCAGATTTCCACTTCAGGCTCTAATACCATCACTGTGTGGTAACTCAGAAACTTCCTTCTCATTGCTAGGTTTGCTATCAGAACCACAGGGTTTTCCACTCTTGGCAAAGTACAGAGGTTTCTACTCTTCTTCAGGCTCCATGTTTGCTGGTGCAAACTGGAGATTTAATGAGAAGGGAAATGCCACTGCTATGGTATCATTCCCAGCTGCTGATCTCAAATCCTGCTGTTCAGCATGGTGGTGTCGCACGTGTACATTTGCTGCTGGCCCAACCACCAGGAGCTGGAATCCAAAGTCAGCATTCCCCCTTGACCCCGGGCCAGATCTTAAGCCAATAGCAGAACATACATTTCAAACATGTTACAAAATTGAACTTGTCAATCAACTCAATGCAATTTAGACCTAATTTGTATCCAATTCAAATCTAAGTGACATTTTTGATAAAAATTGAGGCATTCGACTCTGCTTGTTGGACAAGCTTGTTTTTTCTCCTAAGAACATCCAGGAAGGGCTCTACAGCTATTATTTAATAAAATATGTGTATTTTGCACAATGAATCTTCCTCCATTACTATGGGGAGCAAGAACTTTTGAAGGCAGATACAAAACAAGACATAAGATGCTACGTTTATAAGAATATGAAAGCAAATAAATACAGGTACTTATAACAAAGACCTTTTTGTCCTGATCTATTTTGCACATATTTAAATTGCAAATAAATGTCAATAATCATGAGGTACAAGAGCAGTTTGACTATCCTGTAAAGGAACTGTTGCTTTTATTCCAAATTAGTATCATGAAAAGGAAAGCGGCTACATATCAACAATGATCTCTGATAAATCCAAAGAGCAGCAAGTACAGTAACATATCAAATACTTGACGTTAAGTAACTCATAAATTACTTGCTCAAAAGCACTAAAAACTTGCAGAATCCAAAAAATACTTTAGCATAGCTTGCAAATCTACTGCCATATGTCCACAAACATTTCAAGCATCAATTTCTCTTTGAAAGAGCAATCCCTCTGCAGTCCCACTACCAGGTACTTGTTGGTGAAGCTGTAGCACTGTCTGTCTCCTGCTGGTGCAGACTGTCACAGCTACAGATGAGGGAACTGACCGAGATCAAACCAACTGTCTGAAACTTTCCAGGGCAGCATTGACTAGATCAGTTCCCCAAAACCATTGGGTTTGCACCAGAAAAAAAGGAATTAAAACTAGGGAATAGGGAGTTGTGGTGAGAAAAGAGCAGGACTGCTTCATGCGGCAGCACTCCAGCATCAAGCATTTGCTACAGCTCGTGCAATACAAGCTGGTTACCAGCTGCCTCTAGTTCCGTTTCTTATCACCCATTTCTTGTTCACAACTTCCCAAGCTTGCAGTACCATTTATAGTTGCCTCTATTGCAAAACGCAGCCCACAGCCTGCGAGGAGGTGAGTGGACCGCTCTGTGGTGAGGCCAGGCTGCCGGAGCATCGCCAGCCAGGAGCTCAGCAGCATCGCCTCTTCCCAGCAGCCAAGCCAGGCAGATGATTTTGGCAGATGTGAAGTACAGTTACATGAGAAACATTCAGTACAGTGCATGCTTTAGTAACACAGTAACAAAATCACTGAGGTTTCTGAAATCTGACAGAAAGGTAATTTCTTTTGTTCACTCTCCTTAGTGCAAATGTAACTGCCAGGCTTCAAAATAGGAAGCAGATTGCAATAGCAAAACCTCCGGGTGTTATTTTAAAAGGTGACAGTCATGAGCAAAGTACAATCTCAGAATTAAGCAAAACTTTGGGCTTGGGGTCCAAACATGGGTAAAATTTACACATCAATGTGGTGCCAACAGAGCTAACAGCATTTCACAGGGCCACCCTTTATCTACAGACAAGACCAACAGCTACAATAAGTTCTTTTGGTGCCCTGATATCACAACAGACAAAAAAACCCCTAAAACTTGAATTTAGTGTCCTGCTCATCTTGCCGTCTTCACTTCATACTAAGGATCTCTCATACTACTCCGGCCTCACTTGAAATGGTAAAAACAAATCTAAAGTAAATTCCAGTTCACTCAACTATAGGTATAACAACATTTACTTTCCTATCATGAAAGGATATTTATATCATGAGAGGATAATTAAATTTGTGTGATCTAAACAGGAAGAACAATGCTTTTAATACTCCTTCAGGAAAACAAAAAAGAGCCAACATTAAAAAAAAATTCCTGATTCAATCCAAGACAAACATTGGTGCTACACTCAGCAAAAATTACACGCCTTCCAAGACTTGTCCAACTGCTTTGAGCTGGGTTTTGCAGCTGTTATTACTGGCTTTTAACTGGCTATTTTAGTAGGTACTTGCCATACATTTATTAAGTAAGAAAATCTGATGTGACTTGTGCTTCAAAAAGGAAAGTTACTATATTCTTTTTATGCCTTTACTCTCTGAAACCAAACCCCAACACCTATAAAAGCCTCAGGATTTTATGATAATTATCCAAGTCTGAGATTGGAGTTGTTTTCAAAAGATTATGTTGGTTCCTGCTTTTGGAGCTAGGCTCAGGAAGCATCTGACACATCTTTGGGACAACTTCTCAAAAGGGCTGCAGAGGAAGAAACAAAAGGGTACTGATTCAGAAATAAAAAGAGAAAGTATAATCCAATTCTGCAACTGTATGCACGGTATCTTCAGGTTTACAAAGACTGAATTTTCTTTTCCCTGAGGATTACTTTCCAGATAGTCTCTCTGATCTGGCAATGTTAGGTCAATTTTATGCTGATTTTATGGGTGAGAGGATGAGAACCGCTCAGAAATAGCTGTTGTTGTAGTCAGCTTAGGAACTACTGAGTTTCTCCTCATTCACTTTTTCTAACAGACTTTTCAGGACAAATGGTTTGCACCAATTCTAAGTAAATGTATTAGTAAAAGGAAATTATCAAGTGCACACATAAAATAGTTTGTGTGGCACATGTATAAATGTATATATACTGTTGCATGTGTAAATGGATATTTTCATGTACAAACATCACTTTTTCTATGCCTGCCACATCCAGGACATACATCTCAGCACCTGCCAGTGACACTTGAAAATTCCTTTGCTAAATATCCTACAGCATTGGAAAGGACATCTCCCTTGGTACGAGCCAGATGAGAGACAATCATGGAAAGGTTTGCTGAGGTACCAAAAGAGTGCAGTATAATTACAAGGAGAAAAGCAAGTCACATGCAATGCTTAAAAAAACAGGCTTCAAGATGTAATCTAGAACTGCTCCGGAAGATAAATGCAGGCAACTCTGACACCCAGTAAGACAAGAGGAAGACATATGCAGATCCTCAAGGTAATTTCTCTCCAAAAATCTATTCCTGTAGAGACAAGGTCATAAAGCATGTCATCTGTATTTTCAGGAAAACAACTTCTAACAGTTTAACTTCTGTAACAAATCGAAGAAAATACAAAGGTACTATTTCTCATGACAGAGTGGATTAGAGAAGCAGTACATTCTAAACTATGAAAAAAAAAAAAGAATGCTTTCTGGCTTGTAATTTTCCCCAAAACTGACAAGTTAAATACACTCTAAAAATACTCTTCAAAATCATCAAGCTTGAAGATTATAAATGCCACACAAAAATACAATAGGATAAAGTAATTAGCACACATTCAATTTGGTAATGGAACAGAAATTACAAACACATGCTGAGAAACATCATCTTGGGAAATTCTCTTGGATAGCAACACAGAGAATATTTCAGATAGGAAAACACAGCTAAGGTAAAATGAAACAGATTAATTAAGGAGTCCAGTATTCTGGAGAGAGGAGGAATCTTCATCCCTGTTGGTTGTACTGAGCAGAATAGACAAAAAGACTGCCAAGCAGAGCTGTTCATGGTTGGGACAGAGGAATGGACTAGATATCTGCTCAGTATTCCTCCAG